GTGACAACGGACAGGAGAGGGTGACCTTTTCAGCATTTCACGATCTTCTGCCTGTGAGTGTGGGGGGAGCAGACGAAGGGGCTTTGCTGATGCCCTTGAAGGCACATTCTCAAGATGCCGCCATGATTCCTCAAAATAATGTCATCTGAGCAATGACCCAGAGCGGGAGGAGGACAAGGACGAAATGGCTGCTTCTCAGGTAAGCGTTTTGTCCTGGGTCACAGGTTCTGTCTGCTTTTCCTCCTGCAATTTGTGGATTTATGACCTGAAGCCTTTGATTCTCTACTTCTGACGTTCTTTCCTAGCGCGGTTGTTTTTTACTACCTCTTTTTTACCCTTTTCTCCTTATGGGAGTCAAGGTCAGCTCCTTAAATACTTCTGTCCCTTGTCCCAGGGCCTTCTCTGCATCTCTGCATTCTCTCCATCCAGGCTCCTAAGGGCATGAAGAATTCTCACCGAGAATTAACAATCCTCAGCTACTGAAAACATCCCCTTGGTCACAACGAACTGGGAAGGCGTCATGGCCACGACCCCTCTGGGGCCGGTCAGATGCTCGGGTGTCGCGATGAAGGGGCGTGTGCGTTGTAGGTTCCTCTGGCGCCACATCCGCGCTGTGCGACGGGGTTGAAAACGTGCACGTTTGACCGGGATGGCGTTCCTGGTCATAGTAGCTCAGGAATATTCTAAAAAAGAAGAGTGATTAGAAGGAGACTTGCTCACTAGAGTGGGAAGAAAGACTTACTATTTAAATGCGATTTTAGAGTTAACGAGGAGCATGTCACCATTCGATTAGCAGAAAAGTAGATGCAATTTCTCTGAAATCACAAAGAAGCGGGTTGACCAGAGCTCCTACCTCAGTAGAGACCAGTAGAAGGAAAAAATAGATAGATATTGTGAGACAAAGTCAAAGAGCCGAACTGTTAAAATTCATAAATCGAAGCACATAAATCGGCTAATAATAAAAGGAGGAAACAAGACATTCCATTCTTGCTATATCCTAAAGAGCCAAGTGGCTATATTTAAGAGACGAAAAAGATTATAATACAAAAACTGACAACAGGCAAAAGACATCATGACGGTAAAAGGGTCCTTTCTTTTGGTTAGAACCAAAAGGTTCTAACAACTATAAACAGAGACACACATAACATTAGCGCTCCCAAATATATGAGGTAAACGTTGACAGGAAAATTGTCTCAGGTAGAAACAGGCACCAGCACAGTAATCATATGAGACCGCACTATTTCCGTTTTAGTCATGGACGCGACAATCAAACCCAAGATCCATAAGGATCTGGTTGAAAATAAGAACTGTCTCCACTTTCCCTTGCTGAAATGTGTTTCCTTTCAGGGACGGTTGACACTCAGCGATGTGTTCATCGAATTCTCTCAGGAGGAGTGGGAGTGCCTGTCCCCAGCTCAGCGGGCCTTGTACAGGGACGTGATGTTGGAGAGCTACCGGAACCTGCTCTTCCTGGGTGAGGCTGACTCCCCTCCAGGGTCCAGATCTGCCCTGTGTATCTCTTCCTTTTCCCTTGGGTGCTTCTTGGGAGCCCCTGCCTTGTCTGACAGATCGAAGTTCCATTTGCTGGGACATGGAAAGGCTTCATAAGGTGGCATCGAGACTTTAACTTCACCCTTTCTTCAGATGGTCTGGCCACCTTGTGATTCATCAGGGGTTGTTCCAGAGCTTAAGAGTATATAAAGCCCTATGGCAAACTTAACTGTGCAAATTTTATTTTTTATTCTTATACGTTGACAAGTTGCTTTTGGAAGAGAGCTCGCTATCTGCACACGACACTGCTTGCCATGCACAGAAGGAGGCGAGGAGTTGATGGATTCAGGAACTGTTTTTCTCGATCCATCTGTACTATTCTCCTTCCTCAGCGGAGCAGAGATCAGGGATTCTGGCCGAACTACCTGTCTTCATGCTCCTTTCTTCTGTGTGCAGGAATTTCTGTTTCTGATCTGTATATTGTCTCCATTTTGGAGCAAGGGAAAGCGCCCTGGACTCTGGAGAGCGACTGGAAAACAGCAGCGTCACCAAATCGGTGGGAACGTGTCAAAGGTGCGAACACAGGTAGGAGCTCGGGAAGGGAGCGAGGAGGCCGCAGCCTTCGTCGTGTTTGCAGACTCTCCCCGAGCGACAGAGTTCTGTGGGGAAACAAGTTTATTTCTGGGGAATCCTTCACCATTCCGTCTTTTAACGTGTAAAATTTATCCTTTCGCCTTCAGAGATGCTGCGGTTCCAGCAGAGACCATGACAGAGTATTGTGATCACAACACTGTTCTTTGGTCCCTGTGACATCTTTGGTTCCCTGACTTGAGGAGCGTGGGGCGGGCTGTCTCAGACGGGCTCTGTCCCCCTGGGCTCTCCTTCCGGACTGGGTTCTGTGCGATTCTTAGTGCTCAGTCCATACAGAGTGGAGCTGAGGGCTTGCGGTCCTGCCTCCTGGATCCACCCTGGTCCCATTGATGTTTCCTGTGGTTGGAAGGCGTGATGTGAAGAGGGGACGCGCTGTCTGTCTGTCATTCCGTCTGGCGTCCCCGGAACTGCGTGGGGCCCTCTCCTGCCCTGTCTGCCGGTTCCGGTCCCTCTGCCGTTGCTTCTGTTCTGCTTTTGTTACACACTTCAGAGGTGTTTGTCACAGGGAGGTGGGTAGGGCCTTCTGTACCAGTTTCTCGGTCCATCTCTAGAGACAGTGGACAGAGAGAGCGTCCCTTCGGTCCCCAGTCCTACAGGGGGAGCGCATTTCAGTGTTCTAGGCTTATAGCGCGGTGTCTGGTGGCACGCACGGTCCCCTCACGATCCTGCGGGGTCCGACCCCATTCCTTGTACTTTTCTCTCTCTGCACGACGCTGCCTCGTTTGGGATATAGACTCTTCCAGATTGCACAGTCTCTGTAGTTCGCATGGTTTCCCTTGAACCTTGCCCGTGAATGACACATTCCTGGGGCCTGATAGTTCACTGTGTTCTTTCGCTGGTGTCATCCACCTTTAGGAGATGGACACCCCCAGGTGGACTCGCCCATGGACCGAGTGTCCTTGGTCACAGCAGATTCTTGATGGAGAATGCCGTGACTCATATGTTGCAATATTACGCCACTGCACACAGAAGCAGCCCTGGATTGTTTAGCCTGTCCCAGGACACCAATACAGAAAGTATCACAACAGTCTGGCTGAAAAGTGTTTTCAATTTTCTTCGCGTTTTGTGGAGTGTCAGTAGGCATCTTTCTGGAACACCGATCACGTGCACACATGTACTAAATAGGGTAAAATCTCTTCTGGGAGAACATTGTCCACGGTCACAGCCTCCTACCCTTGAGGCTACTAACTAAGCTGTCGTTCATGCCACGGTTCCCATGCCCTGTGTGTGCCGCTGTGCACACTGCCTCAGCAGGTGCAATTTTGAAGCGTCTTCTTGAGGGAGCTTGGAAAGGTGATTGGTGCCTCAGTGAAGTCACTGTCGTTCGTTTTTGTTGAAGACACTGATCCTTTCGTCTTGTAGATTCTCATGCGTTATTAAATTAATTTGTTTTTTATTTTTGACATCAGTTTCACATTTTTGATAATACTCTTAGTGTTTTATATTTGCGATGTGTGGGAGACTGGGATGGGGGAAAGGTCGTTGTTTGATAATTATCACAGTATTTCGTTCTTTATTATGGTGAGTCTGGCTCACCAGCCATTTTCCCTAAATCCTAAACTTTTCAATGTTTTGAAAAGATAATTTCACTTATTTATTTTGACTTACATAGTATTAATTCTTTAGATTTAGAAAAGATAGCCTTAATTATTTCTTCTGTTTATCACCTGATTTTGTCCGTGACATTAAGTTACTCTTCTGTCATTTAAGTTTATTACGGGTTTTTAATTGTTTTTCCAGTTAGAGACTCTTGAGATTCGATATGAACATTAGGGTGGTTTTCGGTATTTATTAAAAAAACACTATTGTAAATTTCCTTAGAATTGCACTGAATCTGTTGATCGCTTTGGCTGCTCTTGACACCTTGGCAATATAATCTACCAATCCATAAACTTGGGATATCTTTGCATTTTTTTGCATCTTCTTTAAATTTTTTCAGCATTGTTTTTTGATGATAGTTTCCAAACCTTCTCAGTTTGCATCAGGTTACGCCTAAGTATTTTATTTTAATGGCATTATGATAGATTGTGGAGGCAATGTTCTTTTCGGTTGTTCTTCGTTAATGTATAGAACACAAATTGCTATTTGCATCGTGATTTCATATCTTGCAACTTTTCTTTTTCTTGCCCGTTTGTTTTGTTTAGAACTTCCAGTACTATTTTTTATAGGAACATTGGGGGTAGGCATCCTGTCTTGTTCCTGTGGGTACAGGAAAGGCTTTCAGCCTTTCAGCAGTATGATGTTAGCTGGGAACTTGTTATAGAGGTCCTCGTTTATGTCGAGGGACTCAATTTTCATTGTTAGCACAGTGAGTGTTTCTTATCACGAAAGGTTAATAATGCTTTTGCTGCATCTACTGAGGTGACCTGTGGTTTTTTTCTGTTTTTATTCTTTTACTGTGCTCTATCTATCACATTTAATGGTTTTCATATGTTGAACCATTTTTGCTTTCATTGAACATATCCCTGTTAGTCATGTTGGATTATTTATTCAGTGTGTTGTGTAAGTTTGTTTATGGTTTCATTGATCACTTTTTCATCAGCATTTATCAGAGATATTGGTCTGTGGTAATTCTGTATTGTCTTTGTCTCGCTTGGCTATTAGGATAATTCTGGCCTCCTAGGATGCATTTGGAAGGGTTCCTCCGTCTTCAATTTTTTTGGAAGTGTTTGAAGAAGATTGGTGTTAATTCATTTTAAACGTTGGTTTGAATTTTGCGGGGAAGTTATCTGACCATTTTGTTGAATGGTTTTTGATTAGTCGTTTTATCTCCTTACAAATTACATGTGTGTTCAGATATTTTACTTTACGATTCAACCTTGGTAGGTGAATGCTCAAAAACCATTTCCAAGATGGATGGCTAGGCAACGCTGTCAAACGACACAACTTAGCTGTTGAAACGATTTCTTTCTAAGCTCCTGGTATTTATTGTAAGCCTCTGTGATCTGTACTGCCTGGTTGTGCGATCATAGTTCAGAACATGTCATCTGCGTCTGTAGGTCCAGGTTCCAATCTGTTTCTGTCACTTTCTATGTACATGAGGGTTATGTACATAAACCATGTCAGTCTGTTGCCATTATTTGAAAGTATGTTGGTAATTTCCCCACAAGGTTTTTAAAAACACATTAGTGCTCTTAGATGGCTTAGGACATTGCATGTTTTCTACTGAAAACTCAAAGGTTACTTTTGTTTAAAAAGCTGTATCGACTCCGTGGCATCTTCATTATTAGATATCCTTTTGCCTGCATCTGTCATGTATATTTTTATTTTGTAACATGTTTCCTCACCTTAATGAACGTTGAAAGCACAGACTCCGTATTACATATATTGTGGGCCAATGTACTTAATGACTAAATGGCCCACGTACATAAGTAATCACACTTTGGATCGACTGTTATCTAGTAGTCATAAAACCCCAACGGTAAGTTTCGACTTCTTTCTACTATTCTTTGTTTTAACGTTATGTATTTTCCTGACCTGATACTTTGGACATCAGTGATTTCCACGTAGTTTCCTGTTCTCATATTTGTGCTCTTTCTAGAATAGAATTTCTTCATTTTTAAGGGGGAAATGTTTAGAGTTGGAGAGAGTTAACTTTCTGTTATATGGTTGCCTGTTATTTACTGCTGGTCTTCTCATGGGTTTCTGGAATTTTTTTCAATAAGCTTTTATTTTGATAAACAGACGATAGTCTTTTGGCATGTGTTATGCAGTATACCTGACATGCACCATTTGTTGATGTTATAAAATGCTGTTCTTAGTGGGTACAGATAGTTTTATAACGGATATTTAGAAAAGTATTTAGTTTTTTAGAAAATGTTTTATTGTTGTTTTTATTTTTTCAATGCTATGTTTGTCGTACAATTTTAGACTGCCCTGTTGTTAGATTATTCTTTAGATAACACTGGTTTGGATTATTTACCATTACAATATATTGTTTATATTTCAGCATACATTTATATCTGCTACATATGTAAAAAATAAGTATAACGTAAGGTTTTCCTCAGTTATGAGATAGCAAAATGGTTACTGACAGCTGGTATATGTTTTGGAGTCATGGTGGAAAAATACATTTTTTGAAGCTAACATAAGATTACACGACATGACTGTTTTCATCATAGGGTGTTTGAAACTATGCTACCTTAAAAGCAATTTGAATTCTGTGTGACCACTATTTCATTGGTAAAGAATCCTGTTTCTTTATTATATTAGAAGGTTGAGGGTCATAACTGTGTTTAGTTTAACTTCACTTTTGGTGTAATATTAGATTTCAGCATGAAACATTTATTTAGAAACTAATAGGATAACTATGGTGTTTTTTTGTTTGTTTTTTCAATTTCTAGTAGATATCTGGCCTCCATATGTGAAGAAGAAATTAAAACCAACAAAAAACAGTAATATAGGAGGAGTATTCCAAACAGCGATGTTTGGAAGATGTGAAAGCCATATAATCAAAGACTTTTACTTTGGAGAAATCTGGGAACATATGCCTGACTTTGCTTATCAGCAGAGAGACGATGAAAGGAACCACAAAGAAATGCTTGTAACTCAGAAGAAACATCTCACTGATAGAAGAGGTCAACGTGGTAGAGAGCATGCAGAAAACGAGTCTGGTGAGTACAGGCTTGGACTAAGGTGTCAGTCACATCGGGCTGATGTGGAGGTATCTCAAAGTGAAGGGAAAATTGATGAGCGTGATCCAGCCAAGAAGTCTATCAACAATACTTCCTCCATTTCTCCACTTCAAAGAGATTTTCCTAGTGTCAAAGCCAACGTTTCTACGACGTATGGGAATGATTCTAGGCCTCCTTCAGCACTGACCAGAGATCCGAAAGCATGCAGGAAGACTTCCTACAAATGTTCTGAGTGTGGCAAATTGTTTCGTGTGCTTTCAAGCCTAACTAGACATGAGGGAATCCATAAGGGAGAGAAAC